CTGTCTTGACTGTTCTGCGCATGAGTATGATGAGCAGTGAGCATGGGGGGAGGGACAAGCCTACAACTGAATACCTGCATAGATGATTTACGTTCCACGTAATATAAATTACTCTATAATTGATCTCACAAAGAGGGTGGAGGGGGGGGGGGGGGGGGTCACTGTCACCCCAGGACACCCGCCCCCTAGCTACGCCCCTGTAACAGTCAAGCACGCATTAATCGGTCAACCTTTGGCAATGTATAACTGATCGCTAAATATAAGTAGGCCGTTTAATATAGGTTCGACTGGATTAAGGGACACGTGAATTTCAATGAAATTTTAAGAGGTTTAAAGAAGGGATAGAAGAAGTAAAATAATTTTTGGAACACCAACAGTGGTTTCTATCTATTAATTTTTAACTTCAAATTCTAATTTTAAAACTACATTAAATCTTCAATATTTCTTATTCAATATTTCTAAATTTTACATTTTACTGTTTCCTCCCAAACATACCCAAAAATCACCCCAAAAATGTACATAACATAGATTCATGGGATGAGCTGAGAGTTTTTGGATTGCTGGAAACGTCAGTGAACGAGATATTTCCATTCAACCCATGTTAAGTGGCGGAAAAAATGGCATTCACGTTTACCTCCATCTTTAAAAGATGCCAATGAAATGTGATTTTATCTTTTAATGTTAGGCAGTTCCAAACAAGATTGATTAGTTTGAGTGTTATACCGTAAAATTCCGTATATAAGCCCCTCCGTATATAAGCCCCTCCGAATATAAGCCCCTCAAATTCGAAGCATATAGTACTCTCAAGAAACATATTCGAAGCAAAATAAGTCGAAAGACCGAATTTAATACAGTACTGCAAATGTACAAATGTCACGAACTGTAGGAGACGTGTAGAAATGTCAATTTTTTATACTAAGGCCCGGGGCTTACTTTCGGAATTTTACGGTATCTTTCATGTTGTCATTGTAAATGTGCCATCGTATGGTTTCCTTTCATCAACTGGGCGTTAACTAAATAGAGGTGAAAACAATAAAAATAGGCTCTTTTGGACTATTCAAAGGCTCACTGTGACCATTTATAATGGAGGTCGCATTTACAGAAATACCCTCGATACTCTAGATACCCTTGATACTCTCGATACCCTCGATACTCTAGATACCCTTGATACTTTAGATACCCTCGATACTCTCGATACTCTAGATACCCTTGATACTCTAGATACCCTTGATACTCTAGATACCCTTGATACTCTAGATACCCTTGATACTCTAGATACCCTTGATACCCTTGATACTCTAGATACCCTTGATACTCTAGATACCCTTGATACTCTCGATACTCTCGATACCCTCGATACTCTAGATACCCTTGATACTCTCGATACCCTCGATACTCTAGATACCCTCGATACTCTAGATACCCTTGATACCCTTGATACTCTAGATACCCTTGATACTCTAGATACCCTTGATACTCTCGATACTCTCGATACCCTCGATACTCTAGATACCCTTGATACTCTCGATACCCTCGATACTCTAGATACCCTCGATACTCTCGATACCCTCGATACTCTAGATACCCTTGATACTCTAGATACCCTTGATACTCTAGATACCCTCGATACTCTAGATACCCTTGATACTCTAGATACCCTCGATACTCTAGATACCCTCGATACTCTAGATACCCTTGATACTCTAGATACCCTTGATACTCTAGATACCCTCGATACTCTAGATACCCTCGATACTCTAGATACCCTTGATACTCTCGATACCCTTGATACTCTAGATACCCTTGATACTCTAGATACCCTTGATACTCTCGATACTCTAGATACCCTTGATACTCTCGATACCCTCGATACTCTAGATACCCTTGATACTCTCGATACCCTTGATACTCTAGATACCCTTGATACTCTCGATACTCTAGATACCCTCGATACTCTAGATACTCTAGATACCCTCGATACTCTCGATACTCTTTATACCATCGATATCTCTCCCTCTCTGCAACTACGCTCTCCGCCTTTAAGTTAGTATTGTATAATTTTTATTGTAATAGGAATAGTACATTTTTATAACATGGCTTTTTTTTTTAAACTGACGTAAACTCCGTGTGTAAATAGAGTTTCTTCATTCATTCATCCATTCAGTGTCTCAGTCTCTCTGTCTCTCTCTCTGTCTCTAAGTCTCTACGTCTCTAAGTCTCTACGTCTCTAAGTCTCTACGTCTCTAAGTCTCTAAGTCTCTAAGTCTCTCTGACTCTCAGTCTCTCTGTCTCTCTGTGTCCCTGTCTCTCTTACCCTCTCCCTCTCCGTCCCTCTCTCCCTCTGTCTCCCTCCCCATCTCTCTCTGCTCTCTCTTTCTGCCTCTGCGTGAAAGAAATTCCGTGTTGAAATAAAAATTTATTTCTGTCTGTGTTTGTCTGTGTGTCTCTCTGTCTCTCTCTTCAGTTATATGCCTCTGTAATATTATTTTCATTAAAACGTTATATATTTTTAGATTTTAAAATGCCTTTAAAACAAATAATAACAACATAACTATGAGCTCTCAGCCAATCAGAAGACACCTTACGAGAGCTGCTACATGACTCATTTCTACAGTGGAAGAAGGTAAAGTGTACACCTTCTGTAAAGCAAGAGTACGAGAATGGAATAAAAATCTGACTCTGAGTTTGTCGAAAGAGTCTAAAGTACAGCTGGTGGATAAGGCCAACACGAACTTTGATCCTGACACATGTCATGACGACAGCGCTTTTGCACTGGGAGAGAACTGCATAGACGTAAGCAGTATTATTTCTATCGAGAATATAACTGAGTTTATTCAATGTATAAATTGCAACAAAAAAATTGTCCAAGATTCAGGGCAATTGGTTGTTTTTTGTGATAAATGTGGACATCGTATGAAGCGGGATAAATGTAAGAGAAACATAATAACTAATTTTGTGGCAGAGATCAGTTCCCAGGATAGCGAGAGCAAAACTTTGCGTTTGACAGTGTTTCGCGAATTACTGCTGAAAATGTGCCCAGCTGTAAATAAGGCCGACGTAACTGTGGATAATATTTCTGACGCGTTGTTGTCGTTACAAAATTTCAAAGTGCAGTTCAATAGAGATCAGATTGTAACTGAAGTCAATCTAGGAAATGACTAACGTAAGCCACTGATAAGCCTATACTATTTACATGCCGTGCCGGCCAAAGGAACTTACTTTAGTTCATAGTTCAGTTTGTATTTCAAATCAGTGAATCAGCATATTTTATAAATAATAAATCGAACACGTTCAAGTTTATTTAGCTATAGGGCCATTGGTTGTTTTTTTGTGATAAATGTGGACATCGTATGAAGCGGGATAAATGTAAGAGAAACATAATAACTAATCAATTCCCAGGATACCGAGAGCAAAACTTTGCGTTTGACAGTGTTTCGCGAATTACTGCTGAAAATGTATCCAGCTGTAAATAAAGTCGGCGTAACTGTGGATAATATTTCCGACGCGTTGTTGTCGTTACAAAATTTTAAAGTGTAGTTCAATAGAGATCAGATTGTAACTGAAGTCAATCTAGGAAATGACTAACGTAAGCCAAACTAACAGGGCTTGCCACCGAAAGGAACAACACAGATGTTACAGTTCAGTTTGTATTTGAAATCAGTGATTCAACATATTTATAAATAATAAATCAAACATGTTCAAGTTTATTTAGATTTCACATCACTTGTTTTTCGATGTTGTACCTTAAGTCATTAAGGTTGTTTGTTACTTGATGCTGGTGATGTAAATTAATAAACAATTGTTGCATTCATTAGTTTATTGCTTGCTGTCTTGGGTGGGGGGAGGATTATCAAATTCGGTACCATTCTATGCTGTCACCAAAATGGGGGCGCGGGGACTCGTGTTTGGGGACGTGGGGACGCGAGAACGCCAGAACGGGGACCAGGAAACACCGGATCGTGGACGTCAAAAAAAATAATAAAATAAAAATAAATAATAACAAAAATATGAACCAATGAACCTGGTGCTGAAACAATTTTAGCTGCAGTTTAGTATCGTTTTAGTTGGTATAAAGTCTCGTGGTGTTTCCTGGAAATGGACGACATTTGGGGTAAGAAGAAACCTCGTTCCCAGGGTCTACTCCGCTTTTAAGATGGCGGCTGGGCGCGGAGAAGACCCTGGGGGACACGGTGGTGAAATGGTTGTGACTAGAATGGATAAACCAAAATCAGATCAGACGTTACCCTGACCCACAAAAGAAAGCTAACAATTCTCGTGGCTATAGTAGGCTAGGCTAACCGGGGCGCTATTCTCAGGGCTAATCAGCGCTATTCTCGGGTCTAATCAGTGCTATTATAGGCCAACTGGGGCTATCCATTTAAGCCATACTCCAGGAATCGTGGAGTATTTTGTCACGTGACACACGGTCGACCGTCTTCGCTGCACTTAACCAACAGTTCTAGGATCAAATATCATCATATTTTTTTATATATTATATATATTTTTTGACGTCTCCGATCCCGCGTACCCGCGTCTTCGTTCTCGCGTCCCCACGTCCCGGTTCTCGCGTCCCCACGCGTCCACGCGTCCCCGCGTCCCCGTCCCCAGACCCCAAGTCCCTGTCCCCATTTTGGGTGTTGGGGATAGAACACCAATATATTTTTGTAGCCATCAATGTGTCATTTAGGGTCGCAAGTGAAGAAATAAAAAAACGTCATAACTGTGTTAGTGGCTCTATCGTTTAGGGGTAAAATAATACTTAGCCACACCCAGATTGAGCTCCTTTTAATTTCAAATTTTGCCACAAGCATCCTTATCTCTTTTAAATCGCAGTTCCTTCTACCCTCCACGTGTATTATGTATTAGATAGTCTGTTAATTCCTGATGAGGTATGAGGTATATTAAATTGTTGAATAAATGATAAGTGGAATGGGTGACTTAGATAAAGTGAATTAATGAAGAAGCGCTCTCGAGTCGAAATACTCAGAAAAAAAATTCTGAGCTCCCCAACGGGAATCGAACCCATGACCTTCCAGATGCCGGTTGGACGCTCTAACCACTGTAACCATTCTTGATTATTCCAGTTGATTATTCCAGTTTTACATTTCAGATAGAAATGACGAACTACATAGTCAATTTTAAAAAGTAACTTTTTTCAAAACTTAACTAAACTCAGTACACTGGACAATCATATTCGAAAATAGGAACACTATATTGTAAAAGAAATAGGGGGTGTTTATTAGAATAATTTTATTATAAATTAAGCAACACCCACAAAACGAGATTTTGGTACCTTTTAGGGGTTCTTTTCAAAATTTCTGACGATTGCCCCTGTCACTTTTATAAAGGGGCGTAACCAGCCTTTAATACATTAAGGCTTAACAGCAATTTCCGTGAGAAAAGAAAAAACAAGAAAGAGAAACAAAAACCAAACCGAACATTGCATGTGGTGCAGCGCCTGTACAATTCCTCATATATCGCAATCAATGATCGATTCCTTATCAGACTAAGTCCTTGTGCTGATTGCTTTGCTACACATGTCGAGCTTTTGTAAAACGTTGTTTAGTGTGCTAAGGCCAGGATATATGTATCGGAAATATTGCTGTAAGCACTAAAAACACCTCTCATTTTACACTTGATCAAGATCGAATTTTTGATGAAATATCTCGTCGAGAATGCTGAAAATAACATTTCCGAGCTTCTAGATTTCAATTTCTTCTGGGGCCATGTCTCTAGACCCGCCTAAAGGCTAGAGCCTTTGGCACTTGCTCAAGAGCTCCCCATCATGATGATCTCGGGCTGAAATGGAAAAAGGGCTGGTTACGCCCCTGATATGCATATGGCAGTCTCCGCGGGGGAATGAAATCCTATTATGTCACACAGGTTGGGGGGGGGGGGGGGAGGGGTACCTACCCACATTTCAAACTAATGTAACTTATAGATATAGAGTGCTGGTAAACAATAATTTTTCAAAAATGACCAAACTTTGTGAATTTTCCTAAGGGCGTTTGTTATGTTCAGCCGTTTATGTTTAACTGATTTAATCCTACTTTCATCGAGGGATCATTCGAGACTCTGCTCTAACTCGAAACAATTCCTATTGAGCATGCAACTTCCGACAACTGGTTTCAAAAACCGGTTTATCCGTCCACGTGGACGGCAGTTACATTAAACATCGTTTCAAGTTTAGAGCAGTCTCCTTTTCTTACCGCATCAAATTAAATAACGGAAAAGCAGACTCCGCTAGCATACATCCTTATTTAATCCCCGAGATGCCCATCGGGCCTCTTTGATCATTGGTATGTTCGCGCCGAAATGGCCTCGCGCTATTATTAAATTATCACCTTTTACTCCTATTGGCTCTCTTTATTCCCTTGGGCATTCAGCACAGTTTTATACGCCCTCCCGAGTTGTTGTTGTCCACTTTTGCGTTCATGCCCAGAAAGTTTGGTCTTGGCTTATTTTTTGCCCCACCCTCCTCCCCTCAGCGACGTAAACACCCATTCATGCTGCACTTCTTCGCATGCGCGGAAATTATTTTCGCCCCATATCTTAGTATCTCCGCGTGTGCCATAGAGGTGCAGCATATCAATGAAAATTTTCCTACTATTTTCAAATATCTCTTTTCGTTCCAGAGATATTCAAGTTTCTAAAATATGCAAATTAGCGAAGTGATGACGTCGTAAACTCAACCGAGTTTTGTAACAGAAATGTTTGATTCTTTGCAGTAAGACTCTACTAGATGTGTTCCACAATATAAGTTTGCCAATTTTGTTACCATGGCAACATACTGGGTTCCAGACCTCCCCGATGTTAAAGCATTCCATTTTGATATTTGCCAATGATGCCTCATCTGCATGATCTGGCAAGCATATAAATGTGTTAGGTCGACTTCTTGGCCTGGTTTAATTTTTCCGAGCTGAAAATCACTAAAATATTGAAAACAGGTTGAAACCGTAAGTGTGTTGCCTGTAGAAACTATTAGTCTACCAAGTTTCAATGGTCTCTGCAGCAAATTGACCGAGATAGCTCAATTTATATACTTGATATAAAATTGGGTTGTGTATATGACGTCATCAGTCCCCTAATTTGCATATTTTACAAATTTTTCAAACTTAAATATCTCCAGAACTAATACAGATATTTGAAAACGGAAAACGCCATTTTTCATCTTTCGTGGAATTCTCTATGATACCCCTAAAATTGCAAGGGGTAGAAATTTGATCATAGTAAACGGATAAAGTTGATAAGCCGGCACATGCGCCGAACCGTGAAACACTCCCTTTAATGAACATCTGTAAATCGGATCTGGATTTCGTTCTGATTGACATAAACTTTTCCTTCGATTTACTCGCCTAAAATGATTTCTATAGCCAAGATAGGCGATGACCATTTAGATGCATTCGTGTCATAAGTTCTATACAATTTTCGCGTCAGATCAATGGCAAGCCGACCATACAGATCTGCCGCTCATATTGTATCTATCATTTATAGCGGGGACTTCGTTGTAAAGGGGTTCGTTATCGTGCTTCTACTGTACTCGTATTTCATGGAAAAGCTCCAAGGCGGTGCCCCTTTTCAGGTAAGACAAACAAGGCAGGCTAAGCTTGCATCTACAACTCTCTTGCAAAGATGAGAATATGAATAATACACGAACACTCGGTGTAGTGGCACGTTGCTACAAATAGCATTATTTACGCCCCAGAATATGGGCATTGAAAATGACGGAAAATTAACATTTTGTCGTGGGTATGAATTGTAAATTGTTTGTTCTGCAAAAAAATAGTTGAGTGCCCGCGGACTTTTCAGTACCAAAAGATTCACAAAGGACGAAATATTCATTTGCAACTTCAATTTTGATCAAAATATCAATACCAGTTTGATTTTATTTTAGTCAAAGATGTCTCATTTTCAGTTTTTTTAAAAGGCGCGCCCCCCCCCCCCCCCCCCTTCTTCCTTACAAAGGACAGGGGGCGAGGGGGCAAACTGAAAATCCGGTGCCAGTTTTGTGGAGTGGAAGGATGATATTATACCAGGATGTCAGCAGAATTTTAACCAGTCTTTTGCATTTTGAGAGAATTAGTTAACAAAATCTCAGTTTTCAGGGTAAAAAATACATTTTTGGGCATGAACATTCCCCCTGATTCTAGGTCTAGGTTAGTGCAGGAAGTGAAACAAATATCATCAAGAATGTTTCCACCCCAAGGACTAACTACACACAAAGTATGAAGGAAAGTATATTTTGATTTCCAGTTTGGCTCAATCCTTAGCGACATTGTACTAATCTCGATATTAAGTTAGGTTTTTTCTCCTTTAAGATCCGTAACTTGTTTAGTGTGAAAGACCCCGTGTCTGTTGAGCTCCGTTCACGTGTTGTTTATAAATTTACTTGCGCAAGCTGTAATGCTTGTTACGTCCGTCGGCGAAACCAGCCGACACCTCACAACACGTATTCGCGAACACTTAACTAGGGACAGGGCCTCTCACATTTTTCAACATCTGGAACAATCAGAAGAATGCCGAAGATCATGTTCCACCAAATGTTTTACGTTGTTGGATCATGGCACCACCAGATTCCAAGTTAAGATAAAAGAAGCGCTGCACATTCACTGGGAAAAACCCATTCTAAACAAACAACTTTTTCGTGTAAATTTAACTCTTTCGCTTTAGTTCATGTATACTTTGTCACCTTCGTTATATATAATTATGCCTCTTTTGTGTTTTACTTCGTAATTAGTGTTATAGTTTTGTCTCATATCTTACATACTTGTAATTGTTATTGCTGTACTAGCTATATTATAAATTCAAATCTATAACTGTAATCACTCGCAACTGAAGATGATCGTAGTACGATCGAAACATGTCTTGCAAAAAAATCAAAGTTGTCGTCTTGTTTTTTAAAATTTCAAAATGCTTTATTCCCAAAACGTACCGAATCGATCATATCAAACTTTGCATATAATTGTATGTATAGAAAATGCGAAAAGAATACCTTTGTAAGAATAACATTTGTAGATTTTGATGACGTCAGATAAAAACTCTGACCAATACAGCTGGCCTTAAAATCATTATCAGATTAAGGCTCTCGTTGTGCGATTATGACTTGTTTTTACATTTTCTCTCGCTTATTCTAATACCATTTAGTGTAAGACGACAACCCATTGAAAAAAGCGCACAATTATTGCATGCTTTGGCTTTCTTGAATACGAGAAATAAGCAACTTAAAACTATAAGGAGGAATTATTGTGTCAGAAATGTTATGTTAATAAGGTATTTTAAAGGAAAGCGTTCAACGGATGAATGGATGGATAACTTTGTTTTAAATAATATTACCTTTGAATAGGATCAGGCAACAGGAAGATGTTTTGTTTAATTGCCATAACGACAACAAATTTGACGGAAAACAGTCTAGATAAAATGAACAGTGGGATGTGGGTAGGCGGGAGACGACTCAATGAACATTATAAAATCACCATCATCTAAAGAATTCTATCCGTGATACCATATCAACATGGACTTAAACGACACAAAATCAACCAGTAACTCGACTACCAGCCATGTCAAACAAGTGTTTTATTGCCCGAAGTACCAAACTTCACATGGGACTTAGACGACACCGCTATTGCCTGGAGTTTACTCGTCATCCGATGCATTGCAGGTCCTTGTATTATTTTTGCGAACATATTAGTTATCATTATAATGAAGACAAAGAAAGTTCTGCAAAAGCAATCGACCATTTTGCTGTCCAGTATGGCTGTTACTGATCTTCTTGCTGGCGCTGTTAGTACGCCGTTGTCTGTTGCTACTGATGTATTAATATTGCGCCAAATTTCGTTTTGCGCATATTTGTACCTTAGATTCGCTCTCTATTTGCTTTAGTGATTTTCTTGGCATATGTTCGCTATATCATCTAACTGTAATTGCTTGGGAGAGGTATGTGGCCATACGAAAGTGGATGGACTACAAGGTAATTATTACAGCAAGCCGCGTCAGAAAGCTCGCCATAGCCGGCTGGTTGTCAACAATATTTATAACGGTTCCTGTCCTTGTGATACGACCGGCTGGTGTGGA